GTAGTAGATCATAACATCCCCAACAGCACCTCATCTATTTTACAGCTATTGATCTTCAACTTCACAGAATGACAGAACCCAATCATCCAAACTTGGTCCATCCCAGCCCCTTCAATCCATCTGAACAGTGGATGGCCTCCCATCTACATCTGCGGGTCTCCCAGTTTTCATTTAGACCTGAAAAAGCATGCATTCCCTCCAAAAATCTAAACCTTGCCGGTCGCAATCCAAACCCTTGAGGGTCCCCAATCCCACGGGAAGTCCTCCCATGCAGCTTGCCCCAGCACCCCAGAGATTTGCACTATAAGTAAAATACCACATGTTTCTCTTCTTTTCTCCCATGCCTGCACCCAACAAATCAGTCAAGATCATATATAGGTTTCATCAACCCTAATCCATATCAGCTACATACAGTATAATAAATAAAAAATCCTTTAAAACAGTTTCAAGGAATAAACAGTCAGTCAGATTCTTCACATAATAATTTAGCAATCGGGATATAGTCTTCACAAACAAGTGAATGCAGACAGAAAGCTCAAGTCCAATTTGAATAAATCAGCAGGCCCACAGGACACTCACAACAATCAAATCCCTGTCCCATTCTTGCCTTCCTTAACTAATTGACTCATCACCTTTACTCCACTGGAAATAGCCCCACAAAGATAACTTTAGAATAGAAATCTCCCACCCTTTTACAATTCCCTCCTAGTCTAACATGAACTAGACCTGGAGGGCAGTGTCACCCACATCCATCAAATGATATCACCATTTTATAGTCCTATGCACACCAAGCAGTCTCATGCACCCCAAGCTGTAAGTCCTGGAGGACATTTCATCCACGCTCATTGAATAATATCACCATTTCATAGTCATATTAATTACTTCAGCACACCAAGATCCATCCTACATGCTGAGCCGTTCCAACATCAACCTTCCCAGTGGGGGGGGGGGGGATTAAACATCATTAATTCCCCCTGTGTTGTTGTCTCATACACCAAATGTAGGCATGGTATGTATAAAAACAAAAGAGTGCAAAGTTTTTACAAGTCATGTTGCAATGTTACTTTCCCATGTGAAGACCTGCAAACAATTCCTACCAGTTACTGATAACCATCTGCAGTTGATATATTGAATCTCCCACCCAATGTTACCAAATCAAATCAATGGCCAGAGTCAAGTGGCAACTGTTATTTATGCTATATAAATGTGAAGCATCCACTTGGAACACCCACCAGATACAACATCCAACTTCTTGGTGACCATATCTGGTGACCATATCTGTATAATGTGTCTGATCATGCCCAAAGACGGTCAACATAATAAACATATAACCGTCCAAGTGCCAACTATTTATCAGCTGCTTTGCTGTGTTGCCACAATCCTACATGAAGACCATCAAACCTGTTATCATACTGCCGCAGAATGGTCCACTTAGCATCGATCATCAACAGGGTCAAGTGCCAACCATTCTTCAATGCCCTTTGAACTGCCACTTTCCCAATCAAAGCCCTCCCAAGATGTCAACAACTTTTATCTTACCATCAATTTTTGACATCCAAAGTGTCATCAACATGCTATTGAAAGAAAGAGTGGAGTGCAAACCAAATCAAAATTTCAGTGACATCAATCATTTTGTATTATATACCACACACCAATGTACCAGCAAATAGGTCCTATTGATTTATGACAATCAATATGATTCAGACGTCTCAAAACCCCCAAGCAAATTATAAACAAGGTAATGACCAAGCACAGAGCCTAACAAGTCTCCAGAAGTTCCAAGCAATCAACACATCCATCTAACCCTAACCCATCCAATCTTGAAAAAAGGCAGCCCACAAGATTATTCTGTGATCAACAATGCAGCCCAGAAGAGACAGGGAAGGAGCACATAGCATGCAACCTCAAGTATCCAACTTAAGGTTGTTTTCCTAAATCAGTATAATCATCAAGACACACAATAGACAAGCAAAAGAAAATTAAATGCAATAGTACCTTCAGGAACAATCCACGGGGCCAAGGACGCCACCAAAACCACCAGGAGATTAAAGAGAACAAGAGAACAACTCATAGAGAGAATGTTAGGAGAGATCTCAATCCGGTACATAATGTAAAACCATAAGATTAGAAGCTATCATGATGAGAGAAGCCCGTCTTGCCTATATGAGCATCGGCCAAGAGTCCCATAGAGGCAAACTTCAATCCACAGTGACCAATATTGAACGGAGAGGATTACAGAGAGATGACTGACGACCAAAGTCAAATAGAAGAGTCAGGCAACTTTTGATAAAAAAGAAAGACTAGTAAAAAAATAATGTAGCAAAAGATGTACAGGAGAGACCAGTTGGAATGCTGCAATGAACGGTGTCATTCTCAACTGGACTGATTGTGTAGCCCAGTTTCCTTACGAATAACCCAGCAGCAATATGATGATTATATGCTCAATCCTCTTAATAAAAACGGGGCTAGAGTATGAGAACCTCAGTCAAAACAATGTGAAGATGTCATTCAGAACTGGCCTGATTATCTAACCCAGTCCTCTTAGGAAAAACACGCTTAGAATATGAGACGGTTCGATGTCAGATCTCAATAGAAAAAGGACTACAAGAAAACCAGGCAACATGGATAGAAAAAACAAGAAACATAAATCCAGCAGACAACATAACAGCAAGCAAATAAACAATAAGACTATTTATTTTCTTCATATCTCAATAGCAACTTGATTCCATTTGGCCAAGGAGCCGGACTGACATCTTTAGAGGTGATACCGATCCATTTGGAGAATGCAGGCTCAGAGTCTAAAGGAGCTGTAGGGAACCACTTTCCAAGCTCAGTTCTCTGAGCCCGGTATACATACCAGCAAATAGCCTCTGCAATATTAGCAAATCCGGATTCACAGTTTGGGCCGACGTTCCCATTTGGATGAAAGTTGAACCGATCTTGGGATCCAGCAGGGAGGCCACACCTGGTGCAAATATTGAACCCGTGTGCTCCTTTGGACCCTTCTGATATAGAAGCTGAAAAGCTGGTTGAGGAGCAGTTCTTGGTTGTATGCTCGGTTCCACTGTGGGCGTGATTTGCCCACCCTTTTCCTAGAAAGCAGAAAGTTATATCAGTGGCCAGGATCCCACTTGGTCATCAATCAGTCAAAAAGAGACAAAAGAGGGCTCACCAGCTCTACATCTCAAGCACTTTCCATGCATTGGTTTGCATTGGCGTGGATGTGCTGGAGTGATTGTGTTATTCCAAACATAACAGTCACCACAAGCACCCTTCATCTTCCGAATAAACCTCTGAAGATTGACGAGCTCGTGGGAGATGAGAGAGTTGTCGTGGTTGTTCTGGTTTGAGTTGACTCTGTTGTTGGGCATTGATTGCAGACGAGCTTGCTCAGCAGATCTCGCCAGTGAAGTGATTGAGAGGGAGCTTTCGGCCGCCAGAATGTTGGAGGTGGCCAGTTTGTGTGCCAGTGGATCTGTGTCTTCCAAGCGTCTACGTTTGCGAGACTGAGCCAGACCTGATCCCACATGTGCACCTAGTGTGGCCTTGGCTGAAACAGTACATGAGGAGGTGTATGAATTGCTTGGTGCTGATGGATCGGGGGACCAATCGGGAATTGAAGATGGCTGGGACAAGGATAAAGGGGATGGATGTAAAGCTGGGTTGGCTGATAATCTTGAGCAACAGACACAACGAAGGAATGGGGGAAAGTTCCTGCAAGACCAGTTGAGATTGTCTTGATGTTGAGCAAAGGTGTTAGCAGGGCACAGCGCAGGATTCATCAGATTCTTTTTGAAGTCGTCAATTCCGCCATGGGAGTCTGAGACCTCAGGAATGAAGAAGATGTGAGCCTGGTGGCCATCCCGTCCAGCGCGCCCAAGTTGTTGGTAGGCCTTGTTTGCTGTTTCTCGGTTGGGGATGCCGTAAATGCAGACCAGACGGACATGAAGATAATTGATTCCTGTCCCAAATCCGCTAGTGGCAACAATTGATTTAACATCACCAGAAATCCACTTTTCTACGGCCGCGGCTGCAACATCGTCTGGCAGATCCGAGTGGTGAATGACAGCCTCAATTTGGGGCCCAACAAGCTCAACAGCATTCTTGTTTTCGATAAAGATCATTGCACGGTCTTTGGGGCCGAGCAGGAAAGAGTTGATCAAGGGCTGGATGACTGAAGAAAGTTGTTCCCATTTTGCAGGGGATCTCAAGACCTCAATGTTGAGTTCTGGTCTGAAAGTGGGCTGCCGTTTGGTGATCAAGCGACGCAGTCCAAAGGTGATTCGCAGGAGGTCGTCTTCTTGAGAATGAGGCAACGAGGCTGTTGTGAGGATGAGTTGAGTGGAAAGCTGAGTGAGTGCTGTGACTCCAGGCATGTATCCACGGTATCCGTCTTCAAGGAATGAGTGTGCCTCATCAATGATGATGCGGGTGGGCAAGCAAGAGCGTAGCTGATTGCAGAAGTGAGGGTCGGCAGCCTGATTTGTAGTTGCAATGATTACTTGGGCCAGAAGATCGATGCAGTTTCCTTTCTCAAAGTGCTGAAACGAGACGGTTTTGAGCTTCTTGAAGTCTTTGACAGTTTGATCTACCAGGGCTTTGAGGGGCTGGATAATAACTAGTCTTCTTTGAATGATAGTGGGGTAGAGTAGCCACGACTTTCACTGCAGTCTTGCACCACTAACAAATCTGCTGGATTTGAATCATGAAGAGGCATGATAACCACTCGCCCTGGAAGTCGTCACGGAAGCTGGCATCGGGGTCTTGAGTGAAAATCGCAAGAGCTTGTTGAGCTTTTTTTGCCGGAGCCAAGGTGTCGGGTACCGGAAGCAATGGTTTCTGACAAGCCAAGTGAGATTCAATCTGGGAACATTAGGAGAAGTTAGCAGCAGTCAGACATGAATGGGAGAGGCTGGGGAGAGGGACTTACTCCCCAATAGGCTTGCCATGCCTGACTTGCATTGAGGAAATTTGCATCTGCATATTGGCTATAGTCTGAGCCACCAGAGTGCCCAAGGAGAAGACCACCAGTGTGTAATTAGTTTCAGACCAATGTCATCCAATATATTTTCTTGCTCACTTGTAGGGTTGACCAAACCACCCTCGGTAGAAAACAATGAGGCTGGTATTTTGGCCGCCAGATGAGCATGGGCAATGCTAACCGAAGCCTGCCTCCAAGCACAAAGTCCTATCTTCTCTAACCCAGCAAGGAAACATTGTTTTTGAAGAATCTGGTCAAACTGGGCCATGTCCCAAGTGCCTTGTCTACTGCCAACCCAAAGGAAGCTGAACATGGTGTTGGCAGTGTCATGTTGGTTGAGAGCCCTGAGAAGAAGCCTGGGAAGTCACCGTAGACCTTAATCAGTATTTTTTGTGCAAGTAGAGATGAGAGCAGGGTGCTCACATTTGAACTGGGCGAATGTAAGCTAGATAATTGTGCAAATGCATCGATAGGTCTGTGGTGAGGTAGACTTGGCTTGGCCTGTTGTGGCGGTTGGTTTGAAATAGAAATCTGTTTTCCCGCCAGTAGATGTTTCTTGGAGCTGAATGGAGATTTCTGATCAGAGTAGCAGCTTCTTCAGTTTTACAATCAGGTAGACCACAGCCAACGCGATAAATGAAGTAGATGTGCTCAAGAATGAGGTCGGCACTTTCAAGCCAGTCCCAGGCATGTTTCTTTGAGCAGACATCGTCCAAGTTGACCCAGAATTGACCGTCTTTAAAGGAAACAGCCAATGCCCAGGCCGGAGGAGCAACACCAAAGGAAGAATGATTGAGCATCCAATCTTGGAGCAGTTTGAAGTGGCGAATCTGCATGTTTTCAGAGGCCACAAGATAGTTGAACCCAACGGATGTGTTTTCGGCCATGTCCATGAGTGTATACTGGGGGAAATCGGGGAACAAAGCGCCATGGAGAGATGTATGGATGACACCATTAATGGATGAGATTGCGATTCTGAGGGCTCGCTGCACGGCCTCAATCGTGATTGTTGTGGGGCCAATGACCAGTTGTGTCATTTCTGAATTGGACCAGTAGGTAGAGATTGGCAGATCTTCATCAAATTCTGTTGACGAGGCAAGCCGCATCCAGTTGCTGATGGTGAAGAAGGGCGAGATGAGTTTGTCATCATGGAAGTACTGAAAGAAGGTGCGGATGGATGCGCATTCAAGAGCGTGTGGGTTATGGGGATCTATGCCATCCGGAGGATTTTCTGCAAACAGCTCTGTTGCACGCAGACAGACAAAGATTGTGGCCACACGGATGGTGTACTGGAGGGCGGCAATTGTCTGAGTCAATTCGGATGGCGGACAGAAGGATCCATCGGGCTTGATCATTGAGAGGGCAATGAACTGCTCCAGCGCTGACTGAACTTTAGATCGTTTTAGGATTGAGCACGAGAAACCAACGGATTGCCAGAAGAGCACATTAAGGTTGATGGCAAATTCCTGCTCCGAATTGAGGTCAGCACTTTGGATTAACGGCAACAAAGATGCTGCCTTTTTCACACTGGTGGCTAGCTCGGTATCACCGTCGGACCAAAAATGTGTTGCCAGGGGTTGACCAGCTGTCTGCAAAGTAAAGATAATGAATTCGGCGGCAATCGAGGCATATTGAATGATGGTGGTCTGATGATTTAGTGGCTGAATTAGTCCTCTTGATGGAGGATTGTCACTAGCAGATAACAATTAGTTCCACTTGACAGTGTTTCCAAAATGTGACATTGGGGAGGACATACATAGATTCTCTGAGGGCCTCCATTCTGACAGCATCATGAACCGAGTGAAGCTCTGTCATGCAATTAATGAGCCATTTCTCCACCCAAGGTTTCCAATTTGCTAGCAGCTTGGGGTAGTGAACTTTTTTGTACAGCTCTATAATGGAACATTGGAGTAGGTTGGTGCAAGCAGTGATGTGCGTGTATATTCCAGAACAGTTCATAAAGCAGGACTCTGGGGTTGTAAGATTGTCCTGAGCAGTGATTGAAATTGATTCTTTATGGCCCAGGATGTCGAGGTTGTCAAGAGCTGAGGCCAGCTGGTCCCAAGCAAGCAGTGTAGAGTTTGGATGATTTGACGAGGGGGGTGTATTTGTCACGGGAATGGCTTCTGGCTCAGGAGCGGAGTACTGCACAGGAAAGTAACGTATGGTCGAGTTACTGAGGTGTTGGACGTAGGTGCGTTTTGAATTGGAAGCCCATCCTCCTAGGACTGTCAAATGACTCTCTAAAGGTCAGTGATTGGAGCAGGGATTCTTTTGGGTCGGTAAATGAATGATGAGCATGAAGGTAGCTGACCATCTTTATGAATCTCAGAGAAATGGTTGCTCATCGAGCTGTCCTTTTGGACCGCATGTCCACATATGGAGCCTCTGTGAGGGACCACGCAGATGATCCCTAGTTTGAGGTAGAGGCCCTCTACCGGCTTCCAGGGATGGGATGCTTTGGGGGGGTTCGTTTATTATCAAGAGGAACCTTGACATTGATTGATTTGAAGGCTTGAATGATCGCATCTGGATTGATGTTGTTGATCTTGTGGGGGCTGCTGCTCAAGTGGCCAGTGACTTCCTTTGTTGGCACCCCGCAGTGGCAGTCAAGACAGACAAGGGTCTTGGCATAAGTGTTGAATCCCAAGACTGGAAACTCCTTGGTGACTACAATTGATGTGAACAGTTTGAGCAAAGGTAAAATCTCCTGAGATACACAGGCAAGGTGTGGGGCCACATACGTCTAATCTGATTCCCTGCTGGGATGACAGTTGTCAAGTGATTGTGAGGAAGGGGCGACATTTCCACTCTGACCATTGTTGTTGATTTGTGCCCCTTGAGTGCGTGGTCATTGGGAGAGGTGGTAATAGAAATAGGTTCCTTGTATTGGCAAGGGACGTTGAAGATTGGAGTAATGTGTTGGTTGGAGTCAGACATGCTGAGAGGTGAGTATACTGTATGGATGGAATTATGAAGTAAGTATTAAATTTTCACTTTGAGAAGACTTTGGAATTGTTGTGAGAAACCCTCAGATAATGTGACCCTTTTATAGTGAAATCTCCCCCTTTGGGACATGCATGCAAGAGTTAAATGAGAGGCCGATCCCCAGTCAATACTGCTGGTCAGCAACCAAGAGTCAAGGTCAAGATTGGATTAACCCAGACAATGGGGGTGACCTCCCTTCAAAGAGAGGTGGGGTGCTCAAAGACAAGACCAAAAGTTGCACAAGGCCCCAAGTCAGAAGGCCCATGTCAATAGTAATAAACATATCTGTAAAGTGGGTGGGTAAATAAAATACGAGTCACAGGTTTGAACCAGGACAGAAGCCAATTTTGCCATGTTAATAGAGTTGAAAACTTGACAAAGGGAGGTGGGGCGGTAAAAATGGGTTCACCATTTGCTTCCAGACCCAAGTCAAAAGGCCCATGGCAATTGTATTGATGAGTCCTCCAAAGCAGATGACGGTCCACCAAATTGGCCCAGCTTTTGTACCTAACCCTAACCCAAGCATTATGTTGAGAGTGGTCAAAGGAATGAAAGGAAGGTGGGTGAGTAATATATGCCACCAACATTTTTCCCAAGACATAAGTGAATATCACCATGTTAATAGAGGTGAGAAGTCCTGAAAAGGAGGTCTGCTGGGAAAATTTAACTTGACTATTGAGCCAGCGGCTGAGAGAAAGATTATTCAAATAGTGGCAACCTCTCATGAATGGGAGGTGAAAGGTAAAATATGAGTGCCTGATTTGAACAAGCACAGAAGTGTCAATATCCCCAAT